GAAATTTTATTTCATGTAGACAAATAAATGTTTGTTAGGCGGCACCATTCTGTCGGGGTTTGTAACTGTAAGAGCATCTCCAATGCTGAACTTTCAACATTAATTAAATTTGAACACATGTTAATGAATGGATTAATGTTTAAATTTGAACAACATTAATTAAATTTGAACACCATTCTGTCGGGGTTTGCCTCCAATGCATCCATTCAACAACTATACAATTTGCATATGTGGATTTATTCAATTATTAATAAAATCAAAGAGTATATTAGAAAAAAACCACAACTTCCAATAATTATATGCATGATGTTATTTTTTGTTGATTCAGTTAATTTTTATTTATATCATGAAATTTATAAAATTATTATTTATTCAATAATTTCTCAGTTACAATATGTATAACCACACAATAAATATTTTTTTAATTGGTTCAAAATAAAACAACAAAATATTAAAATTGCAATAACTCAACAAACAAGTATCATGAACATAATATTTTACTTTTAAGGACATTATTATTGATAAATTTTTTAAATTTTAGTTGTAAGTCATCAAATAATTATACTGTATTCAAATAAATTCTCAAATGTTTTACTAATATGAGTTACTACATATCAAAGCTATTACATGATTCATCAAGGTCGTGGATAAACACTCGAATCGGCATCTCGCGCAAAACCCGTAGTTCACGCGATATCGGCACCCACCAACGGAAAAGAGCCAAAAACTTCATCTAGACGATTGAATTTGACCCCGCCACAGGCTGTTACGGCGTAGCTACAACTCTTGTAGATCTCGTTCTCCCGTTTCCGAAATGGTATTATGGGCTGAAATAGTTATGGCCAAAACGGTTTTCGCCGACGAAAACGGCCCCGGTGAATGCTGAAACCCTAGCCGCCGCCTCCAGGATGATCATCTTCACCACGTTCGACTTTGAACACAAAATTACAGCAAAATCGAACAACAATAGCCCTACTACAGTCTATAAAATCGCCTATACTACCCACACTTATTATCTGGTGGGAAAAACGATTACATCAATAAACAAGGGCTGCGATAGACACCATCCAGAAGCATAAACGAGATAAAAACATCATCCACACCATGAACATGACTGAAAACGAATAAACGAATAAACGAAATCAACTACATGTTCCAGGCAGAGCCGATAATCTATGAAACCGAGGCTCTGATACCAATTGATGGAACACGCCGACGAGGCGGTCCTTCCCACGGATCGATATCGGGTACCAAACATGTACATACATGATTTCGATTAAACCTAAGCATGCTCCTAAACATATAGCAATATTTCACAGAATTCCATTTCTAATCCACATATTTAGCAATTAAAATCAATTGTATTCAATAGAACTGATTAAAATATTTTTCAGTTCAGATTCCAAAACACAAATGGACGATTTTAAGTGAAGGCAATTTCGAGTGTGATTGTAGAATGTTGGAAACTGATGGTTTGCCATGTAGTCATCTCATTACCGCATTCAAGTACTTGCATCTTCGAAAAGTGCCCACCCAATGCATACGCAACAGATGGACGACAATTGCTGGAAAAGAGCTTAGAGAAAAATTTCACTTATTACCTGCAACTAATGATCCACAACGGAAAAGGTATTCTCAACTGCATACGGAATCAGTTGACATGTGTATGAAGGCGTCGCAGAATGAATTCGATACGTCAAGATGTTTGAAGAAAGTTCGACGTGCAACGGATAACATACACAATAAACTAGAACAAGATACGGGAAAATCAACTGATGATATTGATAAAGAATCACAAGTACTTAAGGATCCAGCTAGAGGGTGTAAACTGAATGAAAATTCGGGCGACCCACGTAGGACTAGGTCTAGAGGGGCACCGCCAGCAAAGAAGCAAAGATGCAAATCATGCGGGTACATACTTTATACCTTACACATGAAAATATTTATTCTAAGACACAAGGATGTACATTATTTATTATTTATGATATGCGACTCGACTTTTGTTTTGCAGTGAACCTGGGCATAAAACGACTACATGTCATTTGAAGAAATCGAGTAGTCAGCCGTCACAGTCTGAATTTGAAAATGAGGATGAATTTTTCACTCCAATCGGAAATCAATTTAAATGAAATGAATACAGTGAGACACGATTTATTTTTTATGTATGTTTAGGGAGAGGGGTTAAGTTCCAGTGAGCTACTTAAACGGTGCTTTAACCCTTTATTGCAGGTGAAATACCTAATATAGCTTTGGAGTGTGGGGCTCTTGTGGACAGGATGGTGTGGCATGGGCAAAGTGAAATAGTTGTTTTTTAAAATCACCAAATTATAGATTGAACCAGAGATGCAGACTCATCTTGAAGATCATGAGCATATTGTATGTTCTGAAGACAAGTGTGTAATATGATTTTTTTGTAGTTTGTCCACTCGAAGTGAAATGTGTTTTTTCCTGGGTGTCTAGTTGTGCCTCTTGGTAGACTAGTTCACTTGTAATCATTTGGCTATGCCGTATTCGAACTTGCTTATTTGATTTTAATTCAAGTATGTCGCTTGGACAATAAAATAAAATAAAAATATCGGCTAAGGTTTGTAATAAAATTTATGAAAGTCTAATGAAGGAAATCATATACAATGAACAGCGAGATTCACAAGTAGTTAAAGTACCCATCATATTAAACAACAAAAATAGACAAAACATCAACGTCAAAGTCAGGCTAGTGAGATTTAACAAGTTTCATCCAACAAAATCCAACCTATTTCATCAGTGAAACATCCATAATAACATAAACTTACAGAATGGCATGGCGGTCTAATGCCGACGAAGGTAATCCTGAAACCCGTCTACGTCGCTTACATGAGAGCAAGCGTCGGATATGGAATCGTCAGAAAAAGTTTCATTCATCGGTTGATCATTCGCAGCTGGGGTATCGCAGTTCGTCGAGTCGACCACCTCTCTCGAGATTGTCTTAGGCTCCATTTCATCAGGATACGCGATCAAGCGGCCTAACGGTCGGAAGATTGCCAGTAGTATATCCCACTTCAGGTCCGGTTTATCAAACAAGTAGAATGAAATTGCCCAATGCTTGATTACAGGAAAAAAAATATTGTTAAATGACATGACAAAAGAGTCCGAAAAGCAGCTGTTCGGAACTGGATAATTCATCTTTACCTCAATGGCGACATCTTGAACGATAACGGGTACATGCATGGTAAAATTGTAGGGGTCGTGAAACACATCCTTCTGCTCCAACAGCCAATTCATTGTACGATATCTTTCTTTGAGGACATTGTACATCTTCCAAGTTTCCTTCAAAGACAACCCAATGTTTATCTCTTTGACAAATGTTGCATGGATCTCCCTAAAGTTAAGACAAATGTCTGACTCTTGGTTCATGCGCTCCATTACGACGAAGCACCGCAAAATCACGCAAAACCTGTCCTCGATCCATTGCTCCCACCGTTTGAGCATTCCATCTCTAATGTACTTGAAATGGCCGCGCTTGGGCTTAGGCAATGTAAAATCATCCATTCGTGCTTACTTAGTTTTTGTGTTTTTGCAGCACTGCAGAATCTGAAGTGATGGTTTTGGTATGAAGGGAGATGAAAGGTTACCGGCTGTTTTGGTATGATGGGAAAAATAAAGGTAACTTGTGGTTTTATAATTTGTTAAGTGTGCTTTTGGGGAGTGATAGCACTGATTGATGCGACCCTTGGTAGACCTCATCACGTGGGCCTGCCCGGATTCATTTTCCCACTAAATTGCTTTGTTCACATTAAGTCCAAATTGGCCTCATATATAAATATAAAACTGGAAAATCGGGTTGCAAATGGAACCCTAAGCTCCGCAGCTCCTCCTCGACACGAACGTACGCGAGGTAATAAATGCATGATATTTTTGCGTTTTGACCCATAGGTGAGATTTAATTTCGTTGAATTTCGCTGAATTTTGGTTCATTTTTGAAGTCAAAATAATTGGACACAAGGGTTTTCGTAGACTTTGCTAGTGTCTAGTTTCTAGGTTAAATTGTACGTATTGGTGTCTGATTTGGACCTGTGTTTTTCGCCTATTGGCCATTGCCTGTGAGTCCTTTTTGTTTTCATTTCGAACTTTGATGGTAAATTTGTTGGCACTATTAATTATTGAATGTTGTCTTTCTTAATTTGTTTTCATTCTTGTAGCTTAATTTGTCCATTTATCTGTTCTTTTGGTTTGGTTAGTCCGTTTGGTTTAGCTTTTCAGGATCCTGGTAAATGCGGTTTCAACAAGTTATTCATCATTGTGCTTTTTTTTGGATGTACTCTATTGGTTCTGATTTTTTTTCATAGAAACTGTTAATTGGTTTTCAGAGTTTACTTGTATATTTTCACGATGGGGTCTAGATTGAAATGAGCTGCTGTGTTGGATTCTCATCTTATTTAGTTCTCTGTTTTCTAAACCACTCCATTGGAAGAAGACCTTGTCATAAGATATGAAGCTTTTTATATATAACAACAATGGCACTGTTATGTTTCGATAATTGTTGTGGTAATTAATTTAGTACAACTTTGTGCGTCATAGGCAACATTTTGTGTTTGCCGTACAGTCCAAATGAATAAGGGCAGAGTATAGTTCTTTATTCCTGATATGCTAATTTGAATGTGTTTTTCTTAGGTGTTCTGTCATGGCTGACGAGTGGACAAGATTTTTTAAGATCATTCTTGAGACACAAATGAGTTCCCTGGTACGAGGGTCTTTCTAAATAATAGCATAACATGTTATGTTATTTTTTATACTGGATCTGTTGGTGTACGTCATATTCATCTATATTTTAAACTTCATTTACTTAGTCTCTCCCTCCTGCAATTTGGGAACATTATGGGTCCGAGCTTCCACAAAAATGTATAATCCAGACTTTAGAAGGACGTGAGTATGAAGTAACTCTGAAAATGGTGGATAATCAGCCTACCTTGGTCGAAGGATGGGATGCTTACATTCAGGCAGAATACATTGAAATACCTTACATTCTGTTTTTCAAGAGAATCAACAATTTCCATTTCGAAATTATGGTGACGGACAAAACTGGTTGTGAAAGAACACCGATATACCACTTTTGTTTGGACATAAAAAAATCGCACATTGACCGCGCAAGCTTCGTAAGTAAACACTGCTTAAATCTTAATTTTTTCAAATATATACTATTTCATATATATTTCCCATCCATTACGCTGAAATGAACTGACAAAAATGCAGCCAATTCCAATGCCTTTTTGGAGAGACCACATCGAGGGATACTTTAACAACTACACTAAGGCTGTCATCATGTTCAATGAAAAGGTTTATAAAGTTGATGTAATTCATGGTAATGGCAAGAGATTGTTGCAAAACGGAGGTGCTCGACAGATTGTGATTGATAGTGGCATTTTGGTTGGTTCTTCAAGCATGTTCACCCACGTCGGACCACTCAACCCGGATAAAGTGATCAAGTTCAGGGTTAGGAGTGGTTAGTAGCAGGGATCAGATTTAGGACATGACAAACTTATGTTCTTTTTGGTCTTCTCCTGGCTACTGATTGAAATTGTAATATCTGTTTTAATGAAGTGTGTTGATGCTCAAAATTTGGTAACTATATTTTTAAGTGTCTTGTGTGTTGATTTGGAATCTTCTGATATTTGTTGTGACTTCATTCACTTTCATGCGGGTTTGAAAAAATAAAAACAATTGACATTGAATTATAGAAAATCTGAGAAATATCTGAAACATCAAGATGGTTGTCGGTTGCCTTTCCAAGTTAACCTGGCTGTTCATTGTATTGCACTTTCAATTATTTTGCTGATTCCAGTTTTTATAACAAATCATGAATATGTGTCTCATATTAAGCAGTCGTATCTGTTGGATTCGAACACGCATTTATGAATGTCAACTCATATACAGACGTATACAAGTACATTGTCAAAAATAGCCTCCATTGTGGCAAAAGAAAGTGAAATTGTACAACCACAAACATGAANTAAAAAAAAAAAAAAAAAAACAGAAAGAAAAAGAAGAGCACACATGATGAAGTATTCTAACCACTTCATCTGCAGGATCCTCAGCTTCCAGTTTTACATCCACAACATCCTTGCAGTCCAAGTAGCAGGTTACCTTCTTCAAAATATATACTATAGCTCTTTCCACAACACACACCCACAGTATATGCCTCCACTGAAACTCTAAAATAAGTACGTAGAGGAATCACACAACTGCAGATTATCCTCTTCAATGAAAGCCCTACCTCCCAACCCCAATCTTCAATTGATCATTTACCAACTAAACCCACACTCCTTATATCCCAGACAATCCCAACAAACCCCCAACAGCTACCAACATAACTTAGCTCTATGACAAAGAAAAATAACACATAATTTCACACACAACTTCACACTCAATCGCCTTCTTCCTCAATTGGACTCTAAAATAATATACTCAAACCAGCATCTCCAAAGGAATGTTTTGATCTTACTCTGAATGGGAAGCTACCAAGTTACCTTCCACATGTTCAAGATTTTCTTATGATTGCTGCAATCACCCGTACGGAGCTCAGAATACCTTCAGTGCTTATTGATGGTGTTGTAGACTTCTTTGACAGAGAAAATGCCTGACCTGCACCAATCCCACACCAGATTATGTCTCAAGCTCTCAGGATTCAGAGGAATGCCCTTAAGTCTTTGAACACCAAACCCCCCCATCCTTTGGTCTATCTAACTTAAGAATAAGTCATTTGGCAATTCATTTCCTACATCACAACATCATGGACAAAAATAAACCAGATTAAATCACAACGGGATTCCAGGTTGATGTAATACCAAATGGATTAGCCTATTACTGCTAATATATATAAATATAAGTTGAATACATAACTTAAAACAGTACAAAATCAGGGATTGATCAACTGGCCATTAACAACAAACACGAAGCAACACACATTCATCAACCCTATTCAGGCATTTCATCAAACATGTAATGTTCTTGATAAGGACAAACAAAAAATAAAAGAAACGTCCGTCAAAAAATTCACCTACTGAAATCAGATCAAATATTTTTCCAAAACCATTGAATAAAGGGAATTGTATAACAATGTCACCAGAAAATATTCGAGATAATAACGGGAATTTACAATCATATCTCAAACAACGTTGCTTGTCTTTACATTTGGAGTACAAAATCACTATAACGCAAACGCATTTCAAAAATACCTAGATGCATCGACCGCGCCTCGTAAACATTTGATTGCATATGTATCAATTTTTTACGTATGGTTCGTGAATCGTTCGAACAATTGTGTCTGTTGGAAGTATAGTTCTGGGATTTTGATGAGAAAGTGAATAAATTTATGGGAAGTCGATGAAGATGAGGTTGTCGTAGAACGAACGAAGAGCAAGAATAATTATAAGAACAATAAGATTTTTTTTTTTTTAATTCGTATGATTCAGATGATAAATAATACAAAAGTTGAGGATGTAATCATATGTTATTGTAATTGTAGGATTGTTAGACAAATAAGCTAAAGAAATGTCCTTCAAAGTAAATACAATTAAGATTTTTTAATTAATTTATGTTTAAATTTAAAGTAAGGGTATAATAAGTTTTTTATCATGTACGAGGTGTACGAGCCATGTACGAGGCAATTCATGTACGAGGCAAATTCTTTTTTGCCTCGTACATTGAATATGTGGTTGATATTCAATCTTGAAACAATCTAATGGTTAATAAAGAGGGTATCTGATGTTATGCACGTACGAGGGGTACCTGACCCTAGAAGATCCCATGTGAGTTAATAATACTTATATAGTGTTTCATAACACTTCATCCTATTCCTATTTGTTCTCCATTCCAATATAATAAAAACAAAAGTATATTTATAATAAATGTATCAAACTTTAAAAAAAAAAAATCGTGCGCACATCAAAACTGAGAAGAACGAACTGTCTGAACCCTATTTCTCGGCCTGCAACAAGAACAATCCTTGAAGAATGTCATATTCAATCGAGTTAAACAAGAGCAATTCTTGGAGGATTTTATCTTCAATCGTGCAAACACAAAAAACTGAAAAGAAGGAACCGAGTTATGTGAACCCTACTTCTCGGCTACTGCAACAAGAACAATCTTGGCGAATTTCATCTTCAATCGAGTGAAACAAGATCAATTCCTAGAATATTTTATCTTCAATTGAGTGAAACAAGAACAATTTATGGTTTAGGAACTCAATACCTTATGTTGTGAAATATGCTCTGTAGTATAATGGTAGTTTGTGGATTCTTGAATAATCCCCAGGATTCTTGGCACGACCTTTTAGATATTTTGTGGATTGAGTTTTAGTACTGATTAGTGTGTGTGTGTGTGTGTGTGTCTGTGTGTGTGTGTGTGTTGGTTTAAAGGTATGCCCTGTCGTTGTGTTGGCTCTTGCCCGAGTGCTTTGTAGCTTGTGTGTCTGGATTTGAACAATTGTTGGTGATTCTTACTAATCTCAGAAATGTAAGGTTGGCTTTGTGTGTTCTCAGCTACTGCAACAAAAAAACAATTATTGACGAATTTCATCTTCAATCGAGTGCAACAAGAACAATTCCTGGAGTATTTTTTCAATCTAGCAGGAGGAGGACACCAAGGGCAACGATAACATCGTACTGATTAAGGGCAATGATAAGAACGAGTACAACTGCATCGTCATACGGTGGAAGAAGGCTTTTACTGCTTGGTCTAAGTGCATGTAGAAAGTGTGGGTGGCGAGTGGCATGTGCTTAGATCTTGTTCATCAGTAACTATGAATTGTAGCCTTAGAATCGATATTAGAAATATTTATTTTCATTTGATTGCAGATCTTTCATCACTATGTTGATCTAAGTTTAGTGTTATCATATATGTATGGTGCTAACCGCTAAATCTGGTATATTTTTTATCTTTGTTTTGAGCTTGGACTTGAAGTGGAGAAGTTCAGCATGTAGAATGGAGTAAGATCCAGACACCAACTGACGAGGTTGTGGTGCCTTATGATACCCTGGCCCTTGTACCTGAAGGTGGCATCTCTGATCTTGCATTTTGTTGTTTAACACATTTAGATTCTTGTTTTGGCTTCTTTTTGAATTAATCAATAATTGAGTGTTGAAAAATCATTGTTTGATTTAAGTTTCATCTTGATATACAAATTAAAATAATTATATGTATCTTATCTCTATCAATAAAAATTTAAATATTTATAAATTATAATTAAAAAGACAATAAATTTATCTATCAAGCTTATTATATGGTATAAGTACTAAAAATTTTATAATATAATATCGTCGATCTGACTGGTGAGGTGTATCATTTTAAATAAAAACAATAATGTTATTTTGTAAGAATATTAAAAATTCTATAATAAAAACTTGTATTTATATTTTTACATATATTAAATATAAAATTTTTGTTAACACATATTAACTATGTATAGTTAGCACAAAAAATTGAGCCTAGGCAATTGCCTAGGCTCGCCCACATGTAAATCCTTTCCTATCTGAAAACAAATGCAAAATGCTCAATATATTTCAAAAGTTGAAGTAAATTTTGAATATGATGAATAAAAATTCGTATATATAACATACACACACTCTCGTGTGGGTGTACTTTAATCTAACGGCTCAGATCGTCCACATGGTATGTAACGCCCCACTTTGATTTAACGAAAATCCATGGATTTTCAGAAAAATCAACTTAAATTCTTGAAACTCATTTCAAAACATTGTGGCGTTACTCATTTAAAACCAACATCAACAGTGAAATTCATAATATCAATTCATAATCAACTCCCAAAACGGATTTCATCACAAGTCGTCAATCGCCTAATCCGGGTTTCATAAAATCATCACAGTGTCAAAGGGGCATCTCCCCAGCAATATTTTCAATCGTCATAAAATCTCAAGTTCATAAAATCATAAGATTCCGAGTTCATAATGTCCCAAGTCGTGAAATCATAAATCATAAAATAGTTCAAGTAGTGGAAGCATAACAATCAATAATCTGGTCATATAGACCGACCACACTCGTTCCACTCTGCCGTGCCCGCAATCTGCTTAACTTGCGTCTGTGAAGAAAAAGTGGCGGTGAGCACATATGGAATCTGTGGTTCTCACCACTATGCAATAAACAACATTAATCAAGACAGGTATGGTCGCAGCATGTATACGAATCAATTATCTATCCCATCTCTCATATCATAAAATTATAAAATCAAGTCTTATGTGCACAACTACGCATAGACTACTGCTGATACACGTATCGAATGCCTCTCAAGCCTTACAATGATGCCCAAACAGTAGGAGTTTCCTCTGTCGGCCGAGCACTGCCCTGGTCTCACAACGGGGTACATATCGTCGACCGAGCACAACCCTGGTTTCATACCTCGACCGAGCACAGCCCTGGTCTCATACCTCCGACCGAGCACAGCCCTGGTCTCATACCCCCGACCGAGCACAGCCCTGGTCTTACAGGCGTAAAGAGGAGATTACCCCAACGGGGTCCGTTCCATAACTACGGGGATAACCATTTGACGGCCGGTACAACTCACATTGAAGGCTACATGGTTCACATGCATACATTCATCATACCACACGTGCCTTACAATTTACTACATAGCAATTTCAAATAAAACCCACCTGGTTACCGAAGTGGTAGATTCACACAAGGCAATGACTTAGGTCGAGGATTCAACTCGTCGAACCTACATTTATCAAGATAGCGCTATAAATAACTATCCGACACATGGATTTACATTCAACAACATCCACATAGTCGAAACATTATCGACTAAGTGATTCGTGGAATTCCTAATAGAGTTTGGAACCTTTAGCTTAACCGTCTAGACTCGAAAAACCAATTATAAGTCATATAAAACACGTATATCATGATGAACAATGTGTTGGGTCACTAGGAAGTCAAAAAAGTCGGAAAATAGTCAAACTGGGGTGCTGGCACGGGCCTGGCGCGGACCCGCACGAGCAGGTGTCCTTGGCCGGCCTGGACAGCAGGCTGGTTTGATATAACATCCGAACCTTTTCAAAATCCAATCGACCAAATTCAATGAAATTTTACCACATTATAATAAACCCAGAAAAACACATATGCACCAAAAATCAACCCTTAGAAATCATTTTAACTTGGTGAAATAATTTTTGCAAAAATACATCCGTAGAGTGAAAATATAAGTTCCCCAGGTAAACCTTTGAGTTTTTACATGAAATTTTGACACAAGCAGCGATCACAGAGAAAAACAACATATCCAAAGTTTAACCCGTTTGGAGTAGTATTTGAATTTATATTAATTTATGAAGAATCTGACCAGAACTTCAAATCAGCAAAACACATAGCTACAGGTCGTGTTTTAACTTGAAATTTGTACAACATAGACTAACTCAACAGAGGAATAACATATCCAAAAATCACATAAAACACATGAGTATACGATATTTAGTGAATTTTCAAAGATTCAGCAGCAGGACACACTTTAAAAATTCATAATTCAAAATATTCTCAACAAAATGAACTAAGGTCTTCACCATCAGATCAAGGACTCTCCAAAAGACCTATCTCTCTAAGGTTTCCATGATTTATATTCAGGTTCTTCGGTTTCAACAATAAACCAAAAGAACGACATTAAATCCACATAATTATAACATCATATAATACCAAATCACAAAATAACAATAATACAACACTATACACATATACACACATAAAAAATAGGGAGTTCCAGTCATCCATTACCGTTCACCGAAGGAACACTCGGAAACGAATGAAAAACGGGCCGAAACGGGTTCGTGGGCGCGCGTTCGGGGCGAGGTGGCTTCGCTCGGCTCGCGGTTGGCGTCGGGTGGTTCGGGGAGAGAGGGGGAAAGGCGACGACTGAGGAGAGTAGTAGGGTTTGAGGAAATAAGCTGAGGAGGGGGAATGCTCATGTATTTATAATACTAAGGCACAAGCCATACTATCCAAGCAAAAGAGAGGTTCGGGTCGCGGGTTTTTGGTGACGCGCGGGTCGCGACTAATGCGAGGCGCTCGGGCCGGAGGCCATAACATGAGATTTGATTGCCGGTTCTCGAGCCTTAGTTAACTTAACCCAACAATTAAACGACACTCGAAAAAATAAAATAAAACGACCGAAAATCACATATATATATATATATATATATATATATATATCTCAAACAATAATATCAATCAGGCATTTAATTTAAAATAATATTAATTATGCCAATAAAAATATCTGAAAAATTCCATAATCGAACGGGTTTGATCCGATTTAATTATGCCAAACGACGAACGTTTTACAATAAAGCGATTGAGTATTTAAATGTATAATTTAAGTAGACATCGCGTCCAATACAATAATATAATCTCATAAATAAAATTCAATAAATAGAATGATCCAAGATATTCTATAAATCGAACGGGGCGCTACATGGTAGGTATGAATATTGTATATGTAGATATACAGTATATTGCCCACTTACTTATCTTTGGAAAAAGCCAAGATTTTCGAAAATAATTTGAACTTTTCAAAATAAAATATTTTCTTGGGCAGTACTAAAAATTTTTCTTCTCAAACTTTCCAAAAAATTCTTTCTTTATTTCTTAACCAAAGTCTCACACTCGATTTTTTAGGGAAATCACATCCCAAATCTCATATTCTTTCTCAAACAATTTAAGACAAGTAAAACGTTCAAAGTACTTAGTCTTAAATTAAACAACACCGTCTCATAGGCATAGACTCAAATCGTTCACTAAGCAAGGTAAAAACAAGAGTTTGTAAACATTTTGCGGAAAACATATCATAAGCATAAAAGACCACCACTACCTTCCTGTGTCCACGGCCAACTGCTCAACCTGAAAATGATAATTGTGGGGGTGAGAAAAAACAACTAGCCCACCTTGAGCCCATACTATGCAGTTATTCAATATAATTAGCTATTACCATGATGTAGCATGTAACACAAATAAACCGATCATGACGCCATCTCATAGGAGAGCACATAATAATTCACCGCTGTCTCATAGGCGGAAACATAATAATTCATCTCGTCTCATAGGCGAAAACATAATAATTCATCGCCATCCCATAAGCGGAAACATTAATGAAACATCCAACAATCATAATAATCATAATAATTATAAGAAATGAAACATGGCACGGACTTCCCCACCAAATACTTGGATAATGATGATGAGTGGATGCTTTAGTAGGATACTCGAGGGTTCGACTCCTCGGATTCTACATTTTAGAAGCATGACACGTATCAATACCTCACTCTACTTGGTAAAATTAATTTATCAATTTGATTAAATTCTTAGCATAAGGTTCTTGACTCAGAAAAAATTTCTTAAATTTGGACCCTCGGTTAAAGTCATTTTAAAACTCGAAAAATAAGTTTCGGAGATAAAAATTAATGTTCGGCTTAAAATCACGTCCACAGCTCGAAAATATATTTTTAAATCTAAAAAACATGGCTCGGGGTTCAAAACGGCTCGGGTACGTGGCACGGTGCCACTGAGAGTCGGTGGGGCCTGACTGTGGCTTGCACCGGTCATCTGGGTGTGGACGTTGCAGGTCGTCCGCGGGCGCTCCCCTACTCGATGCGGCCCGACGCTCCTAGTGTTGCGGCTGGTCTCGTGCGCCTGCTCACGGACGAGTCTAGATGCCTAGGCTCGGTGCGTACAACCTGACACGAGTTATCGTGCGCCCTCCACTGCGAGGATGGTCACGGGACTGATGGGCTCTCGAGGTAGGGCTCTCGGGCTGTATGCTGGCATGGGAGTTGCGCGTGTTCATGTTCGCGGGGAGGCGCGGGGCATGTGTTGGGATCTATGAGGATCTCGTTATGTACAAGTTATGAATTCAATAGCAAACGTAAACCTATGCCCAGCAGATCTAAAGGTTTGGCGTTAAAAACTTATGGCTTAAAATTTTTTGAATCTGATAGATTCGGGATGACCGGGAAAAACACACGAACGAAACTAGATCACACGAACGGGAAGCTAGGATCACGATCAGTCGTGTCGCGTCTCGTGCGTACGGCTCGTGTGGTTTGCGTGGATCGCCGGCGGTACGTCGCGGGCCCAGGTTGCGCATCGCGGTGGTCTGCGATGTCGGTTCGGCTGGCTTCACGGTGGTCGTCGGCTGGTCATAGCTCGTCGGCGGCGATCCGGCGGGTCACGATCTATCTCCTCTGGGGTTGTAAATATATTCAATCACGGGGTCTTGATTACCTCGGGATCTTCTACTATATTACTCTTACACCTCTTCAACTTGTACTGGTGGAGCAACAAGAAGAAGATAAAACTCGAATGAGAATTGAGAGAGAGAGAGAGAGAGAGAGAGAGAGAGAGGGGGCGCGGCCGATTTCACGTGAATGTGATGAGATCGATCTCTTCTCATGAGCTTAATGTGTATATATAGAGCTAAAGTAGGGATCCTTAGGAGATTAGGAATATGACTTTTTAATTAATAGACTAACTGTGGGTGAAACCCTCTTCTCCAATTAATTAAATAATATTACGGTCCACTAACGTAATATTATTGCACTCCTTTTTCGTAGCCCAAATTACATTTGAGACTCTAATTATAATTACCCAATTTACCTCTCCATGTTTAAGATATAATGTCCAGTAATTAATTCGATTACTGACAATCATAAAATAATTAATATATTATTATTTCACCGAAGCTATCACTCGTTCATCATGTTATTATTATGCCGCAACTTAATCCACCTGCAGTGTTTAGCATAACAATCCTTCATGAAATCACTTTGGGGACGTCATCAAACTAAACGTATATGGTGACCGTAAATATCCTAACAGCACATCATACATACATCAATATTACCCAAGACAGTAGGAATATTAATCCAGTGAACTGAACCTCACCCAAGTGAATCAAAGTAATATGTACTGCATATATATGCCTATTTAATATCTTACGGGTTAAGAGAACGCGGTAATTAACCAAGGCCTAGTTCGTTTACGACGATCAGTATAAAATAAACTTCTCCTCTCTGGGATCCTGTTCAATACATAAATGTACTAGTGCAACTAATCAGTCAAGCCCAACTGACCGTTGACACTACAACTGTTCGAATGGGGAGTTCATTTCCATCTAGGTTGTGAACCACAATTCTTGTTTCGCAAGTAACTGATAGAATGATCTTCTGTTCGCCCGATGACCACCCATTCTAAGTACAAAGCAACAGAACATAGAACTTGTTTAATCTAAGATGATTCTCATTCATAAAGGGTAAAAGTGTAATATCATCCAAAGACAAGCTTTCAGTATATAACACTAACAATCTCCCACTTATACTTAAAGCTTTCGCTTTTACAAGTATAGTCCTATCAAATCGGCTATTCTAAAAGACCTATGTCGATTCTATCACCATGCACCTGACTCCCATTCCTTCCACGTGTTTGACGAAGGCCTTACCCGGCAAACTCTTCGTGAAAGGATCATCTAGGTTGTCCTCTGATGCAATCTTGGCAACATCAATGTCTCCTCTACCAACGATATCTCATATCAAATGGTACTTGCGCTTTATGTGTTTACTTGCTCTATGGGCTCGTGGTTCCCTTGAGTTCGCTACTACTCTACTGTTATCACAGTACACGATGATACAACGTGGCAAACTCGGAATCACCTCTAAGTCCACTAAGAAGTTTCTGAACCAAACTACTTCTTTCGCTGCCTCAGAGGCTGCAATGTACTCGGCTTCCATGGTGGAGTCTGCCACGCATTTTTTATTAGCATTCCTCCATGAAATGACTCCACCTCCCAAGGTAAACACATAACCTGAGGTTGACTTACTCTCATCCCTATCTGACTGGAAATCGGAATCACTGTAACCTAGAGGTAACAATATGTCTGCACGGTAAACTAACATGTATTAATTAGTCCTCTTCAGGTACTTGAGTATATGTTTCACCGTAGACCAATGTTCCCGTACCGGATTACTTTGATATCCAGCTACCATGCCAACGGCGTAGCTAATATCTGGCCTTGTACACAACATAGCATACACAAGACTTCTGTTGTGCAGTATTTTGTGGTGGGATAATTTAGTAACCGAGTTATCCGGACTCGGGTCGTCTCTCAAAGGAAGACGGTTTGGAGCTTCGTTTGCTAGTTAGTTTTCCAAAACACAAAAATAAATTCCAAAACGCTCTAATTCAATTTGTTGTTTTTTCGATTATCAACTAAGAAATAACAGGAAATATAAATCTATTTAAGAAATAGAAATGAAATAATGATAGACAAGCTAAGGAGTCGTAAATAAATAATTCGAGTTTTCTTTGCAATGTTGGGCAATTAATTGTTCGGTTCAAGATTGATACTCTCGCTTAAACATCTAGCGGTTCGCTCCCAATAACTCTTCGTAACATGAGATTGAACATAGACGAGCAAATTTGAGCATACAACACCGGCCAATAATCCAATCCGAATAACTCTTCGTAACATGGGGTTGGACATCGACAAACGTGAACTTCAATCTGAAACCTATAGACAATACGTCTCCGATCATGTCTACCTCATACGAGCCTAGTTCTATGACTCCTTCCCTTTCGTTTTTAAAAGTCGCTAATTCAATTAGAATGTATTTAATCAACTAATCATGTGGAATAAACAAACCTTAACTCAACAAATCAATATTCAATCATTTTCAATCGCAAAATTGAAGTGTCACTCTTCGATTATATCAATAAATTAACCTAAGTGTCACTCTTAGGTTATATCAAATTATCAATAAATCAAGCAAGAATTCATCAATTCCTAATCAATTCAACTCGCACAAGAATAAACAAATTAACGCCCCAACAATCACGAATTAAATAAGAGTAATCATTCTCTATCCCTAGCAATCAGAATTAGCTAAGCATGATAAAATCGACCACAACAAAAGATTTAACACAAGCTTTCATGTTCATAATCAAATGAAGAAAACTTACTATTAATCCAAGTCGAGAATCGAAATCAAACTTACAAGCCAAACTGAGTTCACAAGAAGTCTTGTATTCTCCAAATATTA